AAAAAATGTGTTTAAAATTTTGGGCCCCAATTGATTAAAAACCTTCTTGGCCCTTTAGTATATATATTTTTTTATTGGATCCATTTTTTTAAATTGTGGCCCAAAGCCTTCCTATTTCTTTTTCCCCACGTGCGAAGTAGAAGATAATTTGAACCCGTCATCTCCTTCTCTCTCATGAAACCGATTTTCCCGTATCTCTCCTACTCACTCTCGCATGCCTCGCTTGTTGGGAAAAATACGCTGAAATTTCCATGAAGTCGAATTTATAAAAGTGAAATAAAAAATAAAAATTGGACACACTAGTTTGATAACGGAGTTCGGCCAATAATGCCTATGTCTCCGGACTACTGCAGATATTTTATTAGGAAGAAAAAATACACTCGTGTTTACAAAACACTCTCAACCTCACTCACAACTCACAACTCAAATACACACAGAAGCTAAATTCTTGCTTCTTGCTCACACCCTTTTTTCTCTCTTTTTTTTTTCTCTCGTTCTTGGTGTTTTTCTTTTTGGTTGTGGTGTCTTTGCTTCATCATTTTCCCCTCTATTTATAGATGGGGATTGCACATAATTTTCCACATTTGTGTACTGATTTTCCTCTCAACAAAATACAGCACCTCCGGTTGTTACAATTTTCAAACAATTGGGCTGCTTCTTTTTTTCTTCCATTATGTGCTGTCAAAAGAAAGTGGGCGCAGCCCCTTCTTTGACTCAACATCGCTCACGTCTCTCTTTAAATCTCGACCGAGGAGAATGGTTCAACATAAGAAATCATCCCAAGATGGGCCTAAGTCCTTCATGTCAAATTCTTTGCTGGGCCTAAGTCCTTCATGTCAAATTCTTTTGACAACTGCATCTTTAATTTTTTGATGTCCTTATTATCTGATCCTGCTACCAACATGTCATCAACATAAAGTAGCAAGATGATATAGCTGGACTCATACTTCTTAAAGAAGCAACAGTGACCAACATTGCACTTCTGGAAACCTTCCTTGTGCATGAAGCTTTCAAACTTCCTATACCACTGTCTTGGAGCTTGTTTCAGACCGTACAAGCTCTTCTTTGCACACCATATCCTTCTTTCCATCTGAAAAACCTTCAGGTGGGTGCATATAGATCTCCTCATCTAGGTCTCCGTGAAGAAATGCAGTCTTCACGTCTAATTGCTCTAGGTAGAGCTCTTCACTAGCCACAATACTTAACACCGTCCTTATAGTATTGAGCTTTAACTGGAGCAAAGATTTCAATATAGTCAACTCCTTCTTTCTACTGAAATCCTTTGACAACCAGTCGGGCTTTGTATCTCCTGGAACTATCATGGTCTTCCTTCACCCGATACACCCATTTGTTATGAAGTGCTTTCTTTCCCATAGGTAACTTGACTAGTTCCCATGTCTGATTTGAGATCAAGGACTTCATCTCGTCCTTCATGGCAAGCTCTCACTTGCTAGCATCTGTGGTTTGACAAGCTTCAATGTAATTTTCAGGCTCCCCTCCATCAGTCAGCAGCATGTAGTCCATGTATCTCCTGTTAGGCACATGGGGCCGAGAGGACCTTCTCAATACAGGAGCTAGAGTAGGAGGTTCTGATTGCATATCACTTTCTTTATTTGATTCCTCTGACTGAGGACTCCTCATTATAGGACTGTCTGGGATATCTTCCACCTCAACATAAACTGGCCCACTCGCTTCTGAGTTGCTGGCACTTGTGTTATGCCGGTCCTTGTACATCACTCTTTCATTAAAGATGACATCTCTGCTGCGGATCATCTTTTTATTTTCATCATCCCATATGCGGTAGACAAACTCATCTTCACCATAACCAAGGAAGGTACACTTCTTTAATTTTGGATCAAGTTTGTTTCTGCCTTGATCATTGATGTGCACATATGCTACACACCCGAAAACTCTAGGATGTGAGAGTTTTACTTCTTTTCCGCTCCATACCTCTTATGGTAACTTGTGATCCAGTGGTACCGATGGACTTCGGTTGATCAAGTAAGTTGTTGTGTTGACTGATTCTGCCCAGAACTGCTTTGGTAGGCCTGACTGCACACGCAAGCTTCTGGCTCTTTCAGTCAACGTTCGATTCATACGCTCAGCTACACCATTGTGTTGAGGCGTACCAGGCACGGTTCTCTCCATTCTGATCCCGTGCTCATAGCAAAACTTCTTGAATCTGGTAGTTACATATTCACCACCATTGTCGGATCTGAGCTTCTTGATCTTCAAGCCTGTCTCATTTTCCACCATAGCTTTCCAAATCTTGAAAGCTTCAAATACTTCTGACTTGTGTTTCAGAAAGTAAACCCACACCTTTTTGGAGTGATCATCGATAAAAGTCACGAAGTATTGCTTCCCACCAACGGATGGGACAATCGTTGGACCCCAAACATCAGAGTGGATGAGCTCAAGCTTCTCCTTCTTTGGGATTCTTCTACTTGTCTGAAAGCTGACTCTCTTCTGCTTTCCAAGTATACAACCTTCGCACATGTCAATTTCTATTGACTGGAGGCCTGGTAATTTTCCTTTTGAGTGAATGATCTTCATCCCTTTTTCACTCATATGCCCAAGTCTTTGGTGCCATAGATTGGGACTTTCATTTGCTGCAACTGCAATCAGATGACATGCTCCTGTGGTCTTGTAAAGAGTA